TAACTCATTTATTTCTAACGGAAACATTTCCCCAGAATAATTCTGGTGTAAATTCTGCTGTGGACAAAATCAATTCAATATTTCATCATTTGGCTTCATTGTCTAATTCGAAAGCCTCCAAACCAAAACCTCAACAAATGAACAAAAACAAATGGTTTGACACTGAATGCAAAAACCTGAGGAAAACTTAAAGGAAATGATCAAATGAAAAGCATAGGGACCCAGATAACCACAAGATACGCTGTCAATATGAGGCCACTCTGAAACAATACAAGTACACCCTAAAAACTAAGAAAGAACAACACACCAAGAAGCAGCTCTGTGAAATTGAGGAATCCTTAGAGTCCAACCAGTTCTGGGAGAAATGGAACAACCTAAACAAAACCCAGCAGGATAATCACTTTAGTGAATTATACAGTAATATTACAAAAAATGATGATCAGTACAAGATATTCACGAAATGGAAAATTCTGGAGGCGGTGATTAAAAAACAACCAAAACCCTCTAGATTACCCTGTAACAGAACAAGAATTAACAGAAGTCATCCAGTCCCTGAAAGGAAAAAAGGCTTGTGGTATTCCTCAACGAAATGATCAAATACTCAGACCATAAAATCAGATTGGCTATACTAAAACTATTCAATACTATTCTAGCAACTGGAACTTTTCCAGACATAAATCCCAATAAATGAACCAAATAACTACAGAGGAATATGTGTATCCAGTAACCTGGGAAAAATATTCTGCAACATCATTAATAAATGCCAAATTGTTTTTTTGCCAAATTGCCGCACAACGGACCATATATTTACCCTGCAGACTCTAATTGATCAAGAATTAAACATTAAGAAAAGAAAGGTATATGCCTGTTTTGATTCCATCTGGCACGAGGGCCTTTTCTATAGGCTACTTGAAAGTGGCATTGGAGGGAAAACATATGATTTGATTAAGAACATGTATACAAAAAGTGAATGTGCCATAAAGATTGGAAACAAACAAACAGCATTCTTCTCCCAGGGCCGGGGAGTGAGGCAGGGATGCAATCCCAGTCCAGTTCTCTTTGATCTATATATCAATGAATTAGCAAACCAATTAGAGAGTTCCACAGCAACTGGCCTCCTCCTGAACGACACAGAGATCAGAGGTCTGCTGTATGCAGATGACTTGCTCTCACCTACTAAAGAAGGTTTGCAGCAGCACCTTAATCTCCTGATTCTGGCAGAGATTCTGCCAGACCTGGGCCCTGACAGTAAACACAGCAAAGACTAAGATAATGATCTATCAGAAACAATACAGAAATCAGGTTACACACAATTTCTATTTAGACACCACTAAATTACAACACACAAAAAACTACACTTACCTTGGCCTTAACATTACATTAAATTTCAAAATTCCAATTTGTACTAGAACCAATAATTCTTTATGGTAGCGAAATTTGGGGATCAAAACATATTAATGAATTTGACAAATGGGACAAAACAATCATAGAATCTTTCCATACTGTGTTCTGTAAGAGCATCATGCAGGTGAAGAGAAAGACACCAAATAACCTGTGCAGAGCTCAGCCAATACCCCCTCCTACTAAAAATACAGAAAAGATCACTTAAATTTTACAATCACTTAAAATCAGTTTCACAAAGCCATAACATACCAGGAGCTGAAACCAGAGAAGAGTCCCCTCAGCCATCTGGTCCTGAGGCTCTCTGCAGTAAGCCTCTAGACAAAAACATTTTTTGTCTATTAATATATACACACACGTTACTGTTTTATTTATTTATTTTAATTTTAATATATTTTTTAACACACACTTACTGTTTTATTTATTTATTTTATTTTTAATATATATTTTTTTAACACACACACACACTCACACACACTTACTGTTTTATTTATTTATTTTATTTTATTTTTTAACACACACACACGCTGTTTTATTTATTTTATTTTTAAAATATTTTTTTAAACTCACACACTTACTGTTTTATTTATTTATTTTTAATATATATATTTTTAACACACACACACACTTACTGTTTTATTTATTTATTTTAATTAAATTTTTAATATTTGTTATTTTTTTAACACAAACACACATACGCTTTGATTACTTTACGCTTTGATTACTTTATGCTTTAATTACTTGTTTAATGAAATGTATGGGGTTGATTGTTCTTATGTTGTATGTATGATGCTTTGGCAATGTTGTTGTTATACATTCATGCCAATGAAGCTCATTTGAATTGAATTGAATTGAATTGAATTGAATTGTTGGGGGGGGGGGGCAACAGAGACAAAGAGGGAGGGAAGGGAGGCAGCCTACACAATATCCACACAGAGGTACAGACAGTAAAGGTGATTTTGCTATAGACTAAATGAAAAATGGTACAGATATTTACAGTAGTGTTTATGATAATAATCGTAATGTTAATGATTATAATAATTATAATAACGATACTAATCATTGCAGAGGGTGTCGAGCAGGAACACAGGGTCACCGGGTGACTCACAACCACAGATCCAGACTCCACAGCTCCAGAGCCAGAAACACCTGCAGGAAGTGATAGGAGGAGAGAGGAGAGGGACAAAAAAGCACAAGACTACGGGAAAGGGGAGAAGTTGTGTTAGTAACATGCATTAATGGGATGAGGTTGCATACAGAGGGAGAGAAAGTAGATGTGATGTGTGATGGAAATTTGATATTTTACTCTGTTTACTGTTTCACCCTGCATACTTCATTAGAATAGACCAGTGTTTCATTGTGTGGTATTTGATTATTTTATTATGTTACAGCTAGGTGAAGTTTCCCATGGGTTAGAATTTTGTTAGAGATTTTTCTTATCAGACTGTCCTTGATAGGCCTTCATCTCAGGACAGCTGGTCCCTACTCCCTTCCTCCCTTGGATAGCTGCGTAATACCTGTGGTGGGAATTGCGTGTTTAAATAAACAGCTCAGGCAAACACTTGTCTTTCTGTGAGTTTTATTCAAGTCTTCTGCAGAAGGACTCACAGCAAAACACATACACCATGTACATGTATGCTCGAATGAGTGAGGAGAGCTCCGTGAGCCTGTTATTTATCCAGCTTTAGGGTCAATCATATCATCCCACAGAAACACATTGTGCCTGAAGTCTGGATAACACAGAGAACACAGATATTTTGACTGTTACGTTTACACAGATTCAGTACCACATCACAGATAAGTCTCCCTGAGTCCAGGGTTACATGCAATATGTTTGGAATTCCCATTACATACCCTTACAGTATAAAGTCACCTGTTTCTTCACTGGCTCTTTGTCTTACACTCTGCAGACTGTTTGCACTCTGTATATTTGTCTGACCCTTTGCAAAGAATAAAACCCTTATAAGACGTCTGAATTGGACTCTTTATTTCAGAAGACTCACTAAAGGACATATTTCCATTTCAGGAGAGAGGAGCTCAGTGCATCATGGGAAATCCCCCGGCAGTCTAGGCCTATAACAGCATAACTAAGAGATGGTTCAGGACTCACCTGAGCCAGCCCTAACTATAAGCTTTATCAAAGAGGAAAGTCTTAAGCCTCCTTTTAAATGTGCTTGATAGCTGAACGCTCTGGCTCCCATTCTACTTTTGGAGACTCACAAGTAACCCTGCATTCTGGGAGCACAGCGCTCTGGTGGGGTAGTAAGGTACTATGAGCTCTTTAAGATAAGATGTTGCCTGACCATTAAGAGCTTTGTAGGTGAGAAGAAATATTTTAAATTCTATTCTGGATTTTACTGGAAGCCAACGCAGAGATGCTAAGACAGGAGAAATGTGATCTTGTTTCCTGGTTCCTGTCAGAACACGTGCTGCAGCATTCTGGATCAGCTTAAGAGCAGCCTGATAATATAAGGAATTGCAGTAATCCAGCCTAGAAGTAACAAATGCATGGACTAGTTTTTCTGCATAATTTTTAGACAGGATGTTCCTGATTTTAGTTTATGGTTTACCATTTACAATGTGTGCTTCCATGGGAGCTGCCATAGTTGTGTGACGTCATTTGGCTGCTACTCCTGAAGTCGGGATACATATTTTTTTCACAAGTAGAAATCCAATTTCAAGTGGTGTTCCAGGATAGTTTTTCTAATTGGAGGTCGAAAATTTCCGAGTTGCCTGGAAGGCAGCAGAAGTCTGCTTCTCTAGGGCCTCTCAGGCCTTTTTAGCAATTTATTGTAATAAAGAAATTTTATTAATCCTACCATTTTATCCTGCGTTCAGGGTCGCAGGAGGCTGTAGCCAATCCCAGTTTACATTGGGCGAAAGGCGGGGTACACCCTGGACAGGTCGCCAGTAAATTGCAGGGCCACACATAGACAGACAAACTCATTCACACCTAAGCTGCCCTATTAAAATAAATACATCTTTGTATATTTTGAAACACGTCTCTGCCTCTTCAGTAACTTTCCTGTGTGCCTTTTTCTCTTTATTCTCCTTCATATCATCAAAGTTCAAATAGTATTTCCTGGGGTGCAATTCCCTAGGTGGTGTAGTTTGGCTTTCATTCAATTCTCTACTTCCTGGTTCACCATGCCACACAAGGTAAGTATATAGAATATAAAGACAAAGGGTTAACATGGAGAACTCTTTCATGTGATGCATTCCATTTGACATGGGAAGTCGGAATATCCGAGTTCAAAGTCAGAAATTTCAAAGGGAACGCCCCCTTAAGCCGACTTAGAACGTTGGGAGAACCGCACTACCCTAACTTTGTGATCCAAGATGGCTGCTCTGAGTATCAACAGTTGTGAAAGCTGTAGTTTATACTGTATATTAGCACTGCTGGCCAACTGCTGTCTGTGGACGTGTTGCCGAGCGAGGTTTTCAACTCAGGTGTGATGTCATTCTCAGCTCCAACCTCCGACTTCTAAGGTAAATGAAACGCACCAATAAATGGGGCTTACTGTGAAAAGCAACAAATGTTTTATGAAGCTGACTTGGAGCTGAGGAGATCTGAGTAAAGGAATAAGTGGAGACCAGCAGAGAGGTGTAGGTCCTCTTTATTTTAAAGAAAAATCAAAGGTAAAGCACCAACTCATCCAAGAAGGAACAGTACAGCAAGGGTAGAACGGGGGAGGATGATGTGTGCAAAGCACGACTCAGGTCATTTACTTTCACTCAATTAAGTAAGCAGACCTTCCAATCATTCCTAGATCACACTGATCAGCTGCAGATAACATTTGAATAGTTTCATTCACCAAAATGAGAAACTGAAAAAAATGGCACTTTACAAAACCATTTCAACACAAAAAGTAAACAGTATATTGTCCTCTCCAATCACAGTCACTATCCTCTATACCACTGAATGTGACATGAAAGACTAGACATATATTGATCTACAGAACGTCGTGATTTCATTTTCAATATGTTATAGAGAAATGCAGCTGGGTGGAGTACACATCACCACCTCTGTTCTCAGTAGGGCGTGCTAACAAGGACTCTCTACAGCGTGTGTTCATGTTGCTTACATATGGTACAGATGATGGTAAACCTAAACCTGCTCCACAGGAAGTAGATTTTCATTTATTCCTAAGACATTAATCAGAAGGGCATGTAAATGTAGACAGACAGTAGTGAGAACACAATTCTTGTTAGACCAGAGGGCAAATTACCACAAGCCACTAAGCAGACACGAGTAGTAATTGTCAGTGACCAGGCTTCCCCCCAGTGCAGCAGACATTAGAAAGTCCTAATCCTAATGCAACGCAGTCCCTATGATTTACAGTCGTAGGCAACATTATGCATCATTCATATAGGTTCAGAGAGAGTCATTATGCTACTTATTATGTATATTTGTAATGACATCTTTTAGTGCCAATATAAAAAGTACTGTGACTTTGATAACGTGCAGAAAAAGATGTGCCGACTTATACTAGTAGCCATTAGGGGTGTGATGAGATCTTGCTTCAAGAGATTTCTCAGGTTAAAAGTTGTCATGCGAGACACAAGCAATTGACATTGTTCAGATGCTGTCCCCCCACACATTGATTTTCTTACACAGTGAAAAACAAATGTATGACTGATAACGTCAACTCGCAGAGCTAATCAACTCCGCCCAGCTGATGCAACATCGGCGTACACCGTGACAGTAAACAAGTGTACTTGTGCTGTGAGTCCAGACAGTGTGTGACCGAGTGGTAATGTGGCTGGTAGAATTTTGCAATTTGAACATCTAAAACTGAAGCGTAACCTTGCTGTGTTTGGGACTGTGAGCTGCACTTTATCAGAGCTGCTGAAGTTGACATGTGGGGATTTGTGGTGAGATTTCTGCCTGATCACAAGTGTTGTCGGTTAGTTATGATTTCACATGCAACATGCAGTCCCAAACTGTGTTGGTGAAACGGTCTGAAGGGGATATTACTAGCGGAGCAAAAACGTTATGCACATCATCAGTATAGGGTAGGTAGTAACTAACTAACTAAGATGGCACTGCATATAGCTGCCTTGGTGTTTGGTGCGCTTTGTTTTGTTTTGTTTTTGTGTTAATTCAGTTTTTGGCTGTGATTCCCGGAGCTCATGAACATCAGGGAACAACTCCAGTGGATCTATTTCCCACTTTTCTTGCATCATCAGTGGAATTATTGAACATTTTGGTGAAGGGCACTCTTGCTGTTGTTCGGGCGGTGAAGCGCCGCAGGAGAGGAAAAAGAGCCAGGTCGCTCGTGCATCTCCGCCGGAGGGGACTCCGCACACCGCTACCGACAATATTTCTCTGCAAAGTACGCCCACTGTGCAACAAACTGGATGAACTTCAGCTTCTGGTGGGGAAAAACTTTTATTCATCTTCTGTTCTGTGCTTCACGGACTCCACGCTGCAGCTGGCTGGCTTCCAACTCTACAGAGTGGACTCGACACAGAACTCTCCAGCAAAACAAAAGGTGGAGGTGTCTGTTTTTATATTAAAGGAGACCTATTGTTGGTTACGTATTGTAACTATGAGTTTAGGCGTAGCCCTCTAAGAGCTGTCGCTATTGGGTTCATCCCCGTGCGCATGTGCAGTCCTGAAGATTTCTTTCGTGCCCATGTGCCGTGCACGGGCCTCTCCCAGGTCCACAAATTGTGTATATAATACCGGCGAGACCTGCTCCCAATAGGTCAGCTTTTTTAATTCTGCCGACGCTGGTGGGACCATTCGGCCCACAGCTTAGAGGGCTACGCCTGTACTCATAGAATCTGGGGTTACAATACGTAACCAACTGTTTTGTTGAGCTGTCGCTATTGGGATAAGGGCGAAGCCAGATGTAGTCAATGCCCACCACCAGCAGTCATAAGCATTAACACACCAGTGTGTAGCACCCTAATCACACAATGATATGATAAGAGACCAAAATATAGATCATTGTTTCTGTCTGGTCTCAAACCAGGAACCTCCAGTACGGAAGGCGACAACAGAAACTGCGATACACGGTGATTGCCATCCGTGTTAAACCAGATAACAGGATGGCTGAACAGATCACTCACATTCCTTACACCTGCTGCTGTGAGGGAATTACAACGAGAGTTACGTATTGTAACCAGTCCCAAAAATAAGCAGAGCAGGTGCGAGAGTGGAACAACACACACACACGACACAGCAACGAGAGCGCCCAGAGTAAAAGCACACACAGACGAACACTGCAGGCTTATGTTGAGGGAACAGTAAGGACGGTTGTTATGCATTGTGGTAGTCCAACTGGAGCGCAACTAAGACTGAGGAGAGCCCCAACAGCCCATGGCAAGAGGAGCCTTTACCAGCTCCTTTACAGGGAAGCCTATGTGTGCGTAATGTGCCCTGAGCCAGCAGCGTCGCACCTGGTCTCCAGAACATTCAGTACCGAGTGCGTTAGGGAAAACCCAGATGCATCACTTAGATAGAAATGGATGAAGAGGCAGGGTGAAGCCCATGATGCCGCTGTGCAAATATCTTCCACAGCCATCCCGCTGAACAGCGCTGTGGAGGATGACATGGCTCTTGTCGAGTGCGCCAGCACGGCTCTTCTGTCTACCAGCAGCTGGAGGAAGGACAGAACATGAGATAAGGGACACGAGACGGGGTCTCTTTCCACGCACCAGTGCTGAAAAGCGGACCACTTTGTTCTATAAGAAGCAGTAGTGGATGGAACTCTAGCGCCTTGGATGGTGCGCACTACATTAGGGGACAATCCTAGTCTTTCAAGGCGCTCCCGTTCAGGCCCACAAACGCTGACCTATCACTGGGAAGTGAAGGATGGAGCCATCCAGCTGTGAGAGCGCGTCTCTGCGCCACGGAAGCTGCCACGGTTTCCCTGACAGCAGCTGAATCATCGCTGGAAACCATGATGTGCTCGTGTACGAGAAATTGCTCTAACGCTACTCTGCTCTCTCGAAGTGACTGCTATGCAGCGCTGAAGAAAAAAGTGGAGCAGATCTCTGGTTTCACCGGTATTATATACCCAATTTGCGGACCTGAGAGAGGCCCATGCGTGGCACAGAATACTGTATAATTCTGCACTGAAGATTTCTTGAAATTTTTGTTAAAATCTTGTCTTGATCTCGTGATCATGATCATGTCTTGTCTCATGAGCTAAGTGTCTCGTTACACCCTTAATTAAAATGATTGCCTTGTACAACCAGCAGGTTCTAAATGTTGGTCTGCATGGTTGTGTCTTCACGTCTGAGATAAATCAAAAGAAATCAAAAAGAAATCAAAGCCTATAATCATGCTTTTTTTAATTGGTTAAAAAAATACTCTCTCTTTTCTTAATGGATATACAGCCTGTGTCACAGTATTAACAAACATTAGTGTTAGGAAACACTACAAAATACTTTGAACCTGTTGCTTTATTGAAATTTATCTGATTCTTACTGTTTGACTCCTCTTACAGACTGATCATTTGGCTAGCTGTCTCAGTACAAAATGCAGAAAAATGTTCAATCATGTGCAGTATAGCATACTGCAGTAGAAGCATTTTGGACTGAGATTGCAGTCAGCATCATCATCTTACAATAAGTAAGAGCAGTAAGAGCTACAAGAACAGCTGTCTGTTGGCAACTCACAAATATTTGGCCACCAGTTTTTTATCACTTAAACATCAGTGCTATGTCCTTTAACAGTTCAGTCTAAGTAAACATTATGATACCACATGGGTTGATATGAGAGTTAGAGCTCTATTCACTGCTTTTTTTTTTATAGGTTCTGACCGTTTGGCTGTCATCACTCCTCCTCTCCATACTGGCCATGAAGTGGTCCCTTCATAAAGTGCATCCTCCTTCAGAAGCAATGCTGCAATGGTCTTGTAGCTTATAATACTAATTCTGGGAAGTCCAGGTGTGCTCATGTAGCCACAACATGGAGCATTACTCATTATGTTTACATGCACCTGGTTAGGCCAAGAAGGTGAACACGTTACACGAGCAGCAACCAGGTGTCAATGTCAATGCAGGGTGCAGAGCTGGCCTGTTCCTGGGAAGCAATGAGGTAATTTCCTGGACTGCGCCGTTATGCTTTGTTTGTACAACTATGAGCATGCGCATAGGCATTTATGCTTAGCACGTTGTTTGTTGCAGTATTCTGTGTCATCGAGTCATTCAGAGGAACATGGCTGCGAGCACTGCCCTAAAGCTCCTCAGTGCTGAGGATGCATCGATCTGTTTACAGCTAAAAAGACAAAAGCGATGCTAGTCATGTGCCAGAATCAGAATCTGTTTAATGAACAGTAGTGTTTGAAAAAGTGAGTGTGTAAAACCAATTGCTTGTGCACATGGTTCGCTGCTTTAACTCAGATACTTACCTGATCCTAACCATCCGTAAAGTGTTCAGCAGGTAAGATTCAGTGTAGTGCATTGCATTGGAAAGTATGCCCTTTAGCCTTCTCTCAAACGTGACCTAACATGGTCACATGTGGTTTGTGTGTTCATATCTGAGGCATTTGATTATAAGAAAGGATTGGACCTGGAACAAGCACTGGGGCTCTCTCTATGGCTACAGCTTCATCAGCACATCGACAGAGATTCGTGGTCAGTCATGTAACAGCAGGATGTCACTGCTGCAGCTGAACACAGCAGGATGCTTCACAGGAAACAGAGGACAGGCTTTAAGGGCTGGGTACGGGTCCAAGGTCACAGCGAGGTTAGTGTGTAAACTGGGAGGAAATTAGATATAGTGTGGAAAACAGGTAAGTGACTTGTGATTGTGTCTGTTGGGTCAATTCATTTTCAATTCACTCAATTCCAACAGTGGTTTTAATTTGCACTGTTGGTACATATGAAGTCAGGGACCGACTATTTTAAAATTTTCAAACCTTCTTCCAATCAGATAAACTAATAATAGCAAATAATGAAGTTTCATCCCTCAGTATTTGATCAAACAAAATGGTAAATAATTTAAAATAAGAATTAGTATTGTAATATTTTACATTTCCAAAAACTACATTTATGTATTTATTAAATACTATAATATTTCACATTTCAAAATTTGTGTAAAGCACAGAATTATTAAGAAATTAGAAAATGAAGAATGAAGTCTCTTTTGTGTGTTTATGGACATGTGTTTCATGTCCATAAACTAGGATTTCAGTTTATATTTCAAAAGGCGTAAATGGAAAGTGAGTTGACCCATGATGTTTCAGTTTGCACTTATGAGGTGTCTGGGTTGTCTTCTGCAGGTTCAAGAGCCTCTTGTGGTTTGTACATGAAGGTGAGAAGGAACAAAGCCACATCATAAGAGCACCAATAGGCCGTGTGTGAGGTCACTGCTGACCAGTAGCGACTCTCCACCAAGCCCTCCCGCAGCTCAAAGTCGATGCGTCTCTCCAGTTCCACTGGAACACAGAGAATGACAGATTAGTATCCAGCTGCGTCAGAAGAAGATGTTTTACTTAGTAGTTCTCTGAGCCCTGCTGGACTCAACATGATGAGTATATACTGACACTGGCAATGTACAGTATGTGCAGGGTCTACTGCTCAGAAGACATTAATGGGTATGATGTACTGTAATCTGCAGGTATATTTATCTTAGTTTTTCACTAAAAGCATAGTACTTACACGAGGTGCTGTCCATGACAGCTGAGGTGGACTGGGACATGGCAGGCTCCACCTCCTGCCTCTCTTCCTCTATTTCTTTGTCCTTTTCATCGATCTCAGCGACCGATGCTCCTTCCTCTCCTGATGCCACGTTTTCCACTTCAGAGACTCCACCCTCAGAATCTGATGGCTCTTCCTCCACTCCGCCCACCTGGCCACTGGAACGGGAAAAGCGGGAAAACAGGATTCCTCCGATTCCCTTTCCAAGACTTGCAGCACCTGAGGGGCAGTAAGATTCATGCATCATGGAATTCATTCATCTAAGTTACCAATACAGAGTAAAACATGTCAGAAGTAGGGCTGCACGATTTGGAGAAAAGGTCATATTGCAATTATTGTGGACAATATTGCGATTGTGATTTGATTATAATTGAACAAATGGTACTATGAGTCTACTTGCTTAATTATCAAGGAATGTGTGAAATACTGATATTCTGAAATGTGTATTTCTCAACTTGAACAAAGTTAAACAATACAATAACTATAACTAGTAAAACAGAACAGGGGGAGTGTGTTGCTCTACAGAGGAGGCGGCTAGAGGTATATTGGCACACTGGCACACAATGTACTCTAACCACTGCACTGAGTCTTTATCCACAACCTGGAGGAGGAACAGTACATGAGTGTATTAAATAAAGAGTATAATGTTTAGTTAATAGTATACTGTTAGTATAACAATAATATACTACATTCATTATAATTTCATATAATAGTATACTGTTTTAGCACTAGTTGAATATTAAATCCAGTTCCAGCTGTTTCATTTCTGTGGATTGTTTTTATTTATTTAATTAGTCTCTAATTTGTTAATGTTAAGTACTAACTTATCAATAATCATATTGTTCAACATTTAGTGATTTGCTGTAGCACATCAAACTTTTGTTAAGCTCCCCCCATCCAGCCTATGATTCGGTCGGTTGACGACAAGCACATCGGCTCTGTGAAAAGTTGAACATGTTGAACAACAAAAGGCACAGATACAACAGATACAGCAAAACCTTCCTGTTTTCTTCTGTCTTATTGCTTCAGTGGCTGCCGACATCTCTCTGTCTCTGTCACAGAGCGGCCGCCAGCATTTCTCTCGGTGCTCCGATGGCGCATCCAACTATGTTTTGAACGATTAGTGGCGGGGCGGGGGGTTAAGGTAGGTTTTTGTTTTATTAAAAGGTACTGCTTATAAATAATTTTTCTCATTGCACTTAGGCTTATCTGTCTTTAGAGGCACATGAGAGAGCTCGGTGCACACAGAGAAGAGAGTGTCACAAACGTACACCAAGTGGAGAAAACACTCCACTTCAGGCCGTACATCCTCCGTGTGGACGGGGCCCTGAAGCTGAGGAGGGTCTCGACTGCTCCGGCTGTTAGACCCGCCTCTAGGTACTGTGCCCCCTCAGGGGCCAGACCCACAGTCGCCATACGGCGGGGCAAGGTGAAGAACCCGGTCCTGCGCCTGGGACAGCAGGTCTCTCCTCAGAGGGACCTGCCACGGCGGGCTGTCCAGGAGCGACATGATGTCCGAGAACCACACCCGGGTTGGCCAGAACGGCTACGAGCAGTAGGCCGACATTGTCCTGGCGGACCCACTCCAGAACCCCCGGGAGCAGAGCGACTGGGAGAAAAGCGTACAGACGTAGCCTCGGCCACGAATGTACCATGGCGTGGTTGTCAAATCCCATACTACCCCTAGGAACGTAGTCCGTTGGGTGGGCGCCAGCACACTCTTCTTTGCGTGGAGCCTCAGCCCTAAACGCAGCAGATGAGCCAGAACGACATCTCGATGCCGAACCGCCAACTCTCGAGACTGGGCTAGGATGAGCCAGTCGTCGATGTAATTGAAAATCCGGATGCCCTGGAGCCTCAGCGGGGCCAGTGCTGCATCCATACACTTGGTGAATGTGCGAGGGGAAAGTGCCAGGCCGAATGGAAGAACCCGATACTGGTAAGCCACACCCCCGAAGGCGAACCTCAGGAACTTCCTGTGAGAAGGACAGATGGAGACGTGGAAATAGGCGTCCTTTAGATCTATCGTGACGAACCAATCCTCGGATTGGATGTGCATCACCATGGCGGGGATGGTGAGCATCTTGAACCTGCCCTCCATCCTTCTTGGGGACTATGAAGTACCGGCTGTAGAACCCGGCGTCTCTGTCTGGGGGGGAGACACATTCCACGGCCCCTTTCCTCAGCAGAGTAAGAACTTCCTGTCTCAACACCGGACCTTGCTCCGGGCGGACCACAGTCCAAACCACCCCGTTGAATTTTGGAGGGCGGGTTTTGAACTGTAGTCGATACCCATCTATGGCAGTGCGCAGGACCCACAGAGAAATGTTTGTCAGGCTCCGCCAAGCCTCTGCAAAGTCTGCCAACGGAACCAGTCCCTCGGGGCTGGTGGTCGGTATCTCGTGTGATCTTCTGGTGGACCCCTGAAGCCCCAGAACGGCAGGGGAGAGCCGCCGAAGATCCACGGTGAGTGAGTCTGGACGGCGCCTGACTGCAGACCCTCGGGGCAGGCAGTGAGGCGTGGACTCGATGGTAGCAGGTGCGTCCCGAACGTGTAAACGGGATAACATCACCCGTTACCACGGCGGAGGGGACCTTGGTCCTGATGACGCCGCCCCAACACCCGGAAGTCATCGTCCACTATGCTGAGCACTTCCACCTCCTCGGAGTTGGATTGCTGCAGCGTCTCCGGATTCCAACCGCGAGCGGGAGAAGCTGAGAAACGGGCTCCCGAACGAGGAAAGGAAGCGTCGGGGCCAGCGGATGAAGGTCGGGAAAAAGCCTCAGCTGTCCCGAAATTCGCCGACAGATCATGCTGTGAACCCCATGAGTAAAGCCGCCGGGCCGCCGCAGCACGGGGAGAACACATCCGGCCATCCTCAGAAAAGAGAGCCATGCGGGGCCTCAGTACCCGCACGGAAAGGGCTTCGCAATGGCCTCAGGCAGCCCCCTCGAGAGCTGCCCGGGCGTGCTCCATCCCCAAACATGAGACACACATCTCATGAGAATCTCCATCCGTGATGTACCGAGGGCAAGGAAAAACACACCTTCTGTACTTCTGGTTGCCGGACATGCTGGTAGACTTCTTCTTCAGGTAAGACACACTGCTTGTAGGACTGGAGCTTTCGTCAAACAACATACAGAGCGCCTGCTGAATAGAAAAAAGCTAATGATGAAGTGTGCTTTATACTCCTCCGGTTATTCCGTCACACCTTACCGTTCTAGCAACAAGGTTTTCAGACCCCTCCTGTTCCCGCTGTACACCCACGACTGCATCCCCCATCATGGAGAGAACTCTGATGTGAAGGGGAGGTGATGACGCATAGATAAGATGCTTGGGATGCTTGAGTCCCACTGTGAGACATCCACCATTGTGTCCCTGAGCAAGACACTTGACCCCTAGCTGCTCCAGAGGCGTGCGACCTCTGACATTGTAGTAACTACTGCATTACTAATAGTACTAATAGTAGCACCAGATAGTAGTAGTAGTAGTACTAGTGAGTGAAGTAGTGGTGGTGGTAGTAGTTCAAGAAGTATTATCAGTGGTAGGAGTGTTAGCAGCTGTTGTAGTAACTACTGCATTACTAACAGTACTAATAGTAGTAATGGTAGTAGCAGTACCAGGTAGTAGTTAGTACAATAGTGGTGGTGGTAGTAGTACAAGAAGTATTAATAATGGTAGTAGTAGTACCAGGTAGTAGTAGTAGTATTGGTAGTAGAGATGAAGACTGTGGTACCAGTTAGTAGTAGTATTTGATGTAAAATAAGTAGTAGTTCGAGTAGCAGTATAGACTGTGGTACAAATAGTGGTACTGGTACTACATAGTGGTAGTGGTAATGGTAGAAGTAGTAGTACCAGACTGTAGTACTAGAGGTGATAACTATCAGCATTAGTAGTACTATTATTAGCAGTAGTCTCTGTGCAGTACAGTGAGGTTCATTCAGAAAATAGCTCAATGACTGTCCACCAATCAGAACACAGGACCAAGTGTGTGCAGCAGCGCCGGCAGGAATTTTGGGCCCCATGACAAAAAAATTTCATTGGGCCCCCTCTGCGCAGCTGTTGTCACCACATCTCGAGGACCTAACTGTCCCATCAAAAGCTTTACATAACTCTAATCAAAGGCTTGCAACTGTCTTGCTTCTTGTAGTTCAATACTAGTACTAGCACAATATTTACTGCTGGTGATTTGTACATGCAAGTCTGCATACAGTATGCAGTTCACTATTTGATGCAAGATTAAAAGCCATCATAAAAAAATGTCCTTTAAGGCAATCTTTGACAGCCTCAATGTATTTTTATTGTAAAATTCAAAGAATAAATTCTCTTAACATTAATCACATTAAAAAAAAGAAAAACGAAAAAAAACTAAATATATATTAAGGTTTTAATCTAAATAAATTAACATCATCATCTCAAAACAATGAAAACAGCAGAATTTTTAACTTTGCTGCCCATATATGCCAACAAAAAAATAAAGTTGACATGTTAAAAGGAATTTCCACATCAGGGTTATTATAGTGCTACAAAACAGATCAAGTGATCACTAAATCAATAGGTTTTGAGGTTTGGAAAATGGTCATAACAAACTAACAGTACCAGTGACATCAAATTAAAAGGTAAGTTAACATGGTACAAATAAGAACAATGGACTCCTGGACCCCCTGACTTTTCTCTCAAATAACAGCTCAACACGTTTTTTGGCAGTTCAGCCATACATCTTGTTCTCAGTTTGTTTTTAAGGCTGTGGGCATTATGTCTGTAGTAATATTCAATCTCCATAGCCATGCCATTTGAGACCTTGTCTCTTTGCCAGTCACTGGACCTTGCTCAGCCTGACTCACCAAGAGCCCAGCGCCTATGAAGGTATTTTTGTGTCTTTTTAATGCAAGCTAAAAAAAATGTTTTGAGATCATATTTATCGCAGTGCAATCAAAAATTAAGTTTGTAATAAGAAATAAACAGGCCTTTTTTTTGTGTCACTAAAAGTAATAATAATTTGTCATTATTGATTTCAAGTTAAAAAGTTTTCCTTGTGAGGCAGAAAGTTTTGCAAGTTAATAAGTTTTTCAAGTTAAATAGTTTTCCTTGCAAGTCAGAAGGTTTTGCAAGTGAGAGAGTTTTGCAAGTTGAAAAGTTTTGCAAGTCAAAAAATGTCTAAATAAGAGATTCTATTGGTGGTTTGACTGACCAATCATGGGTTTGCATCGAACGCTTG